ATTAGGGGGTGACATTATAACAGTCTTCCAATATTTGTGAGGCTGTCACAAAAAAGAGGGACTCTAGTCCCCAAAACACCTGAAGGCAGGACAAATAGCAACAGATGGCTTATCAAAAAAAGATCCAACCTAGAACTAAGGAGAAATTTCCTGACCGTGAGAACAATTCACCAGTGGAATGGCTCACCACCAGAAGTTGTGGGTGCTCCCCACAACTTTTTGAAGAAGAGACTAGATAGACATTTTTCTTGAAAGGTACAGGGTCTCTTGTTTGAGCAGTGAATTGGACTAGAAGACCTCCAAAGTCCCTTCCAATTCTATTATTCTTACTCTATTCTCCTGGGTGCCTGTATCAGCCTCAAAGGTAAGACAACATGCCTAGAAGCCTTTTGGAAGAATAACCTACATCATAACATTTACAAGGAACTGAACTGCTCTTTAGCATTATTTTATTCTCAGTTTTGGTGAATCTGATGCCTGCAAAGTGGAGTCCTAGCCAGGAACAAGAAACAGGGAATTTGAAGAGTCACCTAAGGGTTTTTCCTTCCTTGTGATGGATGAAAGCAGCAAAAGCAGCATTTGCATCTGTTAATCTCAGCTGTAGAAGTTGTGATCAGCTCACTAAATTATAGGGGTTTTAATAAAGGATTCAAAGTATTCAGGATTTAGCCTTTTAAAGTGGAGTTAGTTCTAAAACTTTAGCTCTTTTAATGAGATGATTATTATTGGCTGGATATAAATTGATGATGATGATGATGATCTCACTGGCAACATTACAATGTGCCCTGCCTTTTGTATGATTATATTCCCATGACATGTTAAAACTGAATTAGTGGAAGGGTTAGCATGTTGTGAGAACTCTTAAAGGAGGTCAACTGACCCAACCGGTTAACTCCTAAAGTGGCAGATTTAACATCTTACAGCCAACTAGGAGCCATCTGGATTTTGCTTCCAGATCTGATAACTCGTAGCTGAATGGGCCTACAAGAGCTGTGGTGGTGCGGTGGTTAGAGCCAGTGAGGATTGAAGTGATGGCAATCTGCTGACTGCCAGCAGTTCAATCATCACTGGCTCAAACTTGTGTTTTCACCGCCCATGTGGAACTGGTGTTAAGGGGAAAATCTGCAAACAGGAACAGCTAGAAATCCACCCCGAATGTAAATAACTATCTGAAAAGGAACAAATAATTGAAGTTATCCAATAGTCGCATACTGTACCCACTATGTTGCATTATCATTTACGGATTTCCTCTGCCATAATGACCTGTGGTGGTGCACTGGTTAGAATGCAGTATTGCAGGCTAATTCAGCTCACTGCCAGCAGTTCAATTCTCACCAGCTCAAGGTTGACTCAGACTTCTATCCTTCTGAGGTCAGTAAAATGAGGACCCAGATTGTTGGGGGCAAGAGGCTGACTCTGTAAACCAGTTGGAGACCAGGGCTGTAAAGCACTATGAAGCAGTATATAAGTCTAAGTGCTGTTGCTATTGCTACAAGGATTGTTATTGCTACATTGGCAACCAGCAGAATCTTCTATTCCCCCATGCTTTAAATAATGGGAACCCAAACTGAAATATTTAGCAGTTGCTTTGTTTTGTTTTTGTTTTGTTTTTTTTGTTTTGCTTTTGAAGTATGTATATTCCTACCAGCTGAAATCGATGAGACCATAACATAAGCTAAGTGATACACTGGGAATTGCTCTCCGGCAGCTCTGCGATGCAAGAGGACGGGACAGTTGAAGGAATGGAAAACGCATGAGAAAGTGTCCGAGTCTGAGCTAATTCCAACTCCATACCACATTCCATTCAAGACTGGCTGTCAGAGCTCTGACATTTTTACTATTTTATTTGGCTAACCAAACACCAATAAAAGTACTTTTTAGGATATGATGAGAATTGGTCTGGTTGCTGAAAGATCTATTTTTGATGGGAATGTGGACTGTAAATGATAAACTTAGGTTGCCTCTTTCATCACTAAATTGCTTGTAAAGTTGTAGAACATCATCAGAAACGTCTGGTTTCTCCAGATAGCTACAAATTCGATTATAGCTTTATTAAAAGGCTGGCTTCCCTAAAGGGACTTAGTGGGAAGAAATTCAGAATACAGGCCTAGGATAACTTGGCTGTATTCATCTTCACTGAGAGATAAAATCAACAGTGTTCGTGCAGTGGTTAAAACCTGCAAGATGATGGGTGCAGCTGTACAATTGAAATTTTTCCCCTTTTATACCTGCATGCCAAGAAACTGGGTATTAGTTGTGATGCTGGGCCAGTCATCTTGCAGACACTGGCACACACACCTGCCCATGAAGGTGTTTATGGACACAACGATTAAAAAAAATTCTTTAAAAACGAACAGGACAGTGTTAAAATCTGAAAATCTAAAAGGGTGCAGTCTCTGCACCAGTTAAATGATGGTCTATTGCTAAAGACCATTTTAGTGCAGTGAATATGATCTTACAAAGAATACAGCAGTATTAAAACCAGAATCATGCCAAAAACCTGCTGAAGGGTACTCAGCTAAATGCCTTAAAATGTATTTTGGAGAGTGCGATGCCCAGCTGGTTTGTGTGTGTGTGTGTGTGTGTGTGTGTGTGTGTGAGTGTGTATCAAAAATGTCAAGACTGTGATGTGATAGTGTGATTGAAGCTCCTCTGCTTTTAGAATAGAGTAGAGTAGAGGCAAAGAGAAGAGAAGGGAAGAGAAGAGAAGAGAAGAGAAGAGAAGAGAAGAGAAGAGAAGAGAAGAGAAGAGAAGAGAAGAGAAGAGAAAAGTTGGAAGGGATCTTGGAGGTTTTCTAGTCCAACCGCTGGCTCCAACAGGAGACCCTCTACCATTATGGACAAATGGTTGGCCAACCTCTTCTTTGAAACCTCCAGTGATGGAGCACCCACAACTTCTGATGGCAAATGGACACCCTCTTCCCTGAGACAGTCCTTCAAGTATTCTTGGACTGCTATCATGCCACCCCTGGTCCTTCTCTTCCATAGACTTTTTTATATGCATTACTGTCAGAGAAGGAAACGTTCACTTTCCACTTTCCAGGTGACAAGATGTACTTTCTTTTTCAAGTTCAGAAATGGTGAAATTGCCAATTGAAAATTAACTTTCACAGGTCACAGAAATTGTATATGCCTATAGTTCTCTCTCTGTTAATTTTGTGACTTTTGTGTGATTGTGACTTTCACCTTCTCATTTTCCCTTGTTTTAGTCATGGCCACCTTGGACTTAGAAAAGGGCAACTCTACCTTCCCCAGTTCTCCATTATTGCCTATGAATTCTCCTCCCTGCTCTTCCATTGTTACTTCAAGGCATCCACAGCCTTGCTAGGTGTTTCTACCACCAGGGAAGAGATCAAGATTCTCAGATGAAACTAAACTAAAACTGGCCTTCACCTGACCTCAAGTGTACATTGTTCGAAATTCTACATGTTCTACAAGAATCGCTTGCTTTCAGAAGTTGTGGGTGCTCCATCACCGGAGATTTTTAAGACAAGACTGGACAGTCTGAAATGGTACAGGGTTTCCTACTTGAGCAGGGAATTGGACTAGAAGACCTCTAAGGTTCCTTCCAACTCTCATTCTGTTATAACCTTCCTTGAGCCTTTTCTCCATTGTACGTAGGTCAGGAATTTCTGGAAATCACTTTACCTGGCCCAATTCCAGGTGGCTATTAACTATCTCTTGACTTAAAATCCCACCAAAATATTTCTTCTATCCTCGTTTCTATAAATTCATCTCTTTTTCTTTGCATTCTCCTATTGATTTAAAGTTTCCCTAAATATAATAAATATTTAAAAACTTGTATCTGTATCCTGCAGGGGGAGATGCTACCATTCTCCCAAATTCCTATGTAGGTCAAGTCTTCCTTGGGTTGATCTCTAGGCCTGGTGATTTAATAGACCCAATTGTGTTGTTTTCTTGGCAACAAATACCAAACTGGTTTGCTCTCAGCTTCTCTGACAAGCTTTACTTCTCTCTTGTAGCAAAAGTCTTTGGTGATTGGTTGAATGAATGTACTTGCCACCAACCCTCAGCAACTCCATATTGGATGGTTCCATATCTCCCCTCCAAAATACTATCTTGGCCTGACCTGCTTAGCTTCTAGTGAAGCAGATCAGCCAGGAGCTAAGTGAAATGGGTTAAAGGTTAAGTGGTTTGGTTTTAGTTCTGCTTAACACAAAAGGAATGCATATTTTGATGAGTTCTTCCTTCTCTTATCTTTTACTGATGAAGAAAAAGAAAAGAAAGTATAAAAAGAGACTAAAAATGGAAAATGATGCAAAGTCATTCCTATTTTAATCAGGATAACTCTTAATATTATTCTGAAGGAAGAAAGGGAGGGAGGGAGCAAGAAAGAAAAGAAAAGGTGGATGGATGGATGGAAGGATGGATGGATGGAAGGAAGAAAGGGAGGGAGGAGGGGAGGGAGGGAGGGAGGGAGGGAGGAAATAAAGAATGAATGAAAAAAGAAAGAAAAAGGGAGGCTGGGAAAGAAGAAAGGAAAGATTTGCATCCTTCACTCCTTCCCTAAAAAGGACATTTTCCCAAGTTAGAGAAAAAGAGATTTCATTTAGTATTTATCCAGCCTCAGTTTTATCTGGGACTGTGCCACATATGTCATACCAAACATGGGTGAAAAAACTCTGTGAGGGGAGATTGGAGGTTCTGAGGCGAGCTGCCCTTTCAAATCTTCAGAGGCCGTCCGAAGGACCCTTCGCTGGGAGAAAACTCATGGCAAAAATGCTCCGTGCACATTCTCAGGCTCGAGGCCAAAAGGGCTGTGAATGAGTCATGCATTTTTGGAGTTTTTGGACCGTGAGGGGGAAATGAGTGATGTCATGGTTCAGAATCCAGCATTCCCCCAAAGCCAGAAGAGAGCAGCCATGGATCCCAGGGCGGAAAAATTCCAGGCATGGGAAGAATTTGGTCCTGGGAAGGAGTTTGTTCCTGGGAAATTCAAGAAAGGAGAACTAGGCACATCCCATATGGTTTAAGTTTACCTTTAACATATTGCCATGAACAAGCTGCATATTTCTGATGTCCTTGATCCTGTTGGTTAAATAGGGAGTGTCGTGCCTGGCAGTTTTCTGGACTCTGATTTTCTCTCCACGTTGGTTGCACCTAGGGGGGAAGAAAAGGAAAAAGAACGTTCAAATGGCTGTATCTACTCTGACTGGCTTGCCGTATGATTTCTGGAGACTTCAGGAGCCTTCCGCAACCTCTCATCTCCCAGCTGTAGGATTGCAACTCCCATGATCCTTGGCTTTGAGGTCATTCTTCTGAAGGTGTCAGCAGTCCTATAAGGTCAGGGACATCTTGAAAAGCTCGCTCAAAAGGATTCCTTCCAGTGGTGGGATTCAATTTTTTTTTACTACCAGTTCTGTGGGTGTGGCTTGGTGGGCATAGCTTGGTGGGCGTGGCAGGGGAAGGATACTGTACAATCCCCCTTCCCTTCCCTCCCCACCCCACTAACCTGCTTTCCAGCTCCGTTCTCCTATGCAGGGCAACCCAAGAAGGTCCAGCCGATCAGCTGGGACTCAGTGGGAGGCAGAGAATAGATGGGGTTGGCGGGGCCAGTCAGAGGAGGTATTTACCAGTTTTCTGAACTACTCAAAATTCCTGCTACCGGTTCTCCAGAACTGGTCACAACCTACTGAATTCCACACCCATTTCAGGTGATCCTCAGGTGGCCTCAACAAATCTCAGGGAGTTAAGGACCAACTTCAGAGTACTAATGACCAGATGACTGCGAAGATTATAAATCCTTCCAATCCTCACCATTCAGACAGAACCGAGGAACTTCTTGGATGGGAAGTGAAATGCTTTCAAGAAAAAAAACCAAAGAAAGTCCATTTGCCTTTTGAAAAGCACCTTTGAGACAGCCATGACTTGCATGGTGAGGAATCTTCATGGACACTTAGGAAAGAGCCTTAGTATTTCCTAGATTTCCAAATGGCAGCGCAGATCATGGACCAGATTCTTCGGCAGTTGCCTAAAACCAAAGGTTATTTTCCTTCATGATTTTCACACAGTTCTCTTTAGAACAGTATTTGTTGAGAAAAATACAATGGAGGTACAAGAATTCCAGCAACTGAGCTATTTCCCATTTAAAACTAATCTCTAAAATACTTTTGGAGAGTTTACATTTCTTTTAAAAAAAATCCTTCCTATGATTTAGCAAAAAAGAGTACTGCTGATGGAGAAATTCACAACTGGTTGTTTACATAATCGTTTTCTGAATCCTTATCAGCCTGGGAACCAATTATTACATCAAGAGGCTATTTTCATAGCTTCATGGCTACTCATAACTGGCATTAACTTATTCATTCTTGGTTTAGATCACCACTAGCTAATCCCAAGGAGCATACAATGCAGCCATTCTTGAAGAGTTTTCAAAAGTTTACAGTAATGTGAACTATGTCCACCAAGTGACTAACACATAGCAAGAACGTGAGCATATCTGTGAAAGCTATTTTTTACATATAGTCACAAGTAAACAGCTAGAAGTAGATTAAGTTGTACTAAAACAAGGAATAGAAGGAAATTTCACATAGAGCAGGGAGAAGAAAAAGGCACAATTCAACGTGAAAATAACACCAGAGTTGGAAGGGACCTTGCAGGTTTTCTAGTCCAACCAGGAGGTGACTCTATACCATTCCAGTCAAATGGCTGTCCAGTCTCTTCTTAAAACTTGCTTCCTTCATTTCATTTTATTAAAAATGATTAGTTTTTCAACAATAAGATCTACTTTTCAGAAACTTCTGGATTCTGGTGGGCCTATTTAATTGTTTTAAGTTCAAACGTCATGAGATAAGTCTGAATCTTTCATGAGATAAGTCTGAATCTTTTGAACTGCAACTTAACGTATGGTCCTGATCCTTTGTCCTGATATTAATCTTTGTCCTGGCATTAATTAACTTGAGATTAATACCAGGTGCAAAGGATCAGGACCATTCAGTTGCAGTTCAGAAGACTCAGTGCTCAAGCCTGTACAGAGGAATCTAGGCAACTAAAGTTCAGTATTAACATGGCACCAGATAATAATGGTCAATGGAATCCAAAAGGGATGGGACTTGGACCGTTTGTGGCAATGCAATAACTCTAAGCTGATGACATGCTTAACTTTGCCTCGCAGCTCTGCCTGCTCTTCTCCCACAATTGCAATTTTATTGCAATTTTGCATTTCCATTGCTTACAAATGAAAATGTATTTTATGTATGTATTTATTTAATTTATATGCCATTTATCTCATTCTGGGCAGCTCACAACAGCTTAATAATAGTTAATACTTTATTAACAAGTATTACAGTGCATAACATCAGACATGTTGCGGGAAGGAAAAATCACAAAACTGGATCTCACTTATTTTGACCATGTCATGCAGAGGAAATTCACTGCAGAGAGCAATTATGTTTGGAAGAGTTAGTGGTAAAAGGAAACCAGGCTGACAAAGAACACAATGGCTGGACACCATCAAAGCTGACAACATCCAGATCATAGAACAACTCAAAGAAGCAGTGGAAGATTGAAGAGGCTTGGCCCATAGAACCACCAAGCGTTGGACACAACTGAATGGATATCATCATCAACAACAACAACATCATCATCTTCATCATCTTCATCATTATCATCATTATCATTATATGATATATACATTTTATTTCTATCTTTGAATTTTGGCAGTGAGACTGAATAAGAATAATTTTTGAACATTATCTTCACAGGTATAAGCTTTATGATCCATGCTTCTTCTTCCTACAATGTACTTTTTTCAAGATCTTTCTGAATTGGGAAACTGTCCTGAAAAATTCAGATTTGTTTTATCCATTGCCTTTGGAATGGCAAATCAGGTCAGCTTGTATTAAAACGTAGACCAGATATCTCCCTAAGCCCAAGTACACGTGCAAATGATAATACCATTTTAAAATGACATCACTGGCAACTTTCTCCAAGAGAGAGACATGTTATCAGGGTCAAGCAAAAATGGAGCATTTCTCAGAAAAAGAGGTTCTAGGAAGCTGTGATGATACTATGTGTTTCTCAGCCTACGCATAATGCAGTATACATCCAGTATACATTGACCTCTCAATTTTCATGCTACAGCTGAAACTTTTTTTCAGATCATGGATTTGCCAATTACGTTGAAATAAAACCACCACCCTTACAGAATGGCGTTTTGCTGGGAGGTGTCCAGAGATTTCCCATTGTGTGAAAATGCTCTAGGGAATCAGATATTTTATATTACTGAAATCAAAGAGGATGGGGAAGGAGATACATGATCCAGAACATCTCAAAGAGGAATTCCCATCTCTTCTCTGACTTTGGGGAAATTTATTTTGCTACTAATCCAAAGATCTATCAATGGGCGAGTCTTTGAGACACTGAAGAAGCTGCAGCTGCAATGTTAGACAGTGAAAAGAAGCACTAGGGGTGACATGATAGCAATGTTTCAATATTTGAGGGGCTGCCACAAAGAAGAAGGGATCCACCTATTTTCCAAAGTACCAAAAGGCAAAACAAGAAGCAATGGATAGAAACTAACCAAGGTGGGAAGCAACTAAGGAGAAATTTCCTGACAAAACAATTAACCAGTGGAACAACTTGCCTCCAGAAGTTGTGGGTGCTCTAAGGCTGGAGGTTTTTAAGAAGAGAGTGGACACTGTCTTGTCTGGAATGGTATAGGCCGGGTCTCCTGTTTCAGAAGGGAGTTGGCCTGGAAGACCTCCAACTCTGTTGTTATTCTGTTATTTTTCTACAGATGTTATTTCTGTGATAGTAACTCTCCACCACCAAGAAAAACTTGTTAAAGAACATAGTTTAGTTCTTTAATGTTCCTCCTTCTGTCCTTTATTGTTTTGTGTGGAAAACCAGACTCCTTCCAAAATTTCTTCCTTCAGCAGAGAAGGGTTAAAGTGCAGGAAGATTGTTACCTTTGGCTCCAACTGGCATTCACCAAGAGAAGTATTTTCCATTCAGGCCTGAGCCAAAGGTCTCCTATGGTTGCTCTGCTAATATTTCAGCAGGAACAAAGGAAATTGCCTGTTTGTCTACAAGCAACAGGCAAGATTGCATGCTTAACTCAACAAAATTCCTGTTTAGCACATTTGAGCTTCACCAGCCACCCCTTCTCTGCTCCTACAAGGTTGTCTCTTGTTAGAACCTACCAACTTATGTTTGTGTGCTGAGTGTAGGATGAAACTAAAGACAGATAGCTGCTTTGAACATCACCACAAAGAGCAGAAGAGATAAAGAATCTTGACCAAATTGTCTTTGGGACAGATCTGTGAAATGTGATGTTCAAAAGCAATGAAAACATATCTTATTGGATTCTGAGCCTGGTTATTTTCCAGCAGACATTTCTTGCAAGCTCAAAGAACACCAAGAACCTAACAGTCCCAACTTGAGTTATGTATGTTCTGTATTCTTCAAAGAATATGCTGAAAGAACATGCTGAAAGTCAGACTTCAGCTTCTTCAATTACAAGAATCTCAGGCAAGATACCTGCCCGAGCCATAGGAAGATGAAAGTGGCTAAGATGTCTTCTAATCCAGTATCATGATACCCACAGTGGAAATTACTTAGATGCCTCTGAGAAAGGCAAAGTAGGGCCTGAAGCCAATAGTTTGCTCTAACTGGAAATAAAAGGTATTCAGTGAAAACTATATCTGTCTCTGGAGGCTTCCAGGACCATCATGATGAATATCTTTGATAGTCTTCTTCATGAATTTGTCTCATCAGAAGTTGTCTAAAGAAGAGGACCATACTACATCAAGTCTGTATTCCCCAATCCCTTGTGTCAATTGTGTGTTGTGGGGAAGAAGAGGTTGTCCACTTTAAGTCCAAGTCAACATTGGTAGCCCTTTATTGGCCTCCATATTAGATACTTCTATATTTTATCATGGTGCCCAATTCTTGCAGGTCCTGGAGAAGCTACATCTTGGAGGACTCATTCTCTCCATGTTTCTTGACTCTGCAGATTGCTACATACTAATAGTGCCACTGCCAGTCTCGAAATTCACCTTTCTGAGACAATACATCCTGTGATCTGCTCTTTCCCCAGTGGAAATCATGAAAACTCTGCTAGTTCTCATCTGTTTCTCTTGCCCTTCATATAGCACAGGCTGCATCCATTTGTTCACACTCACAAAGGGTAATAGTGTAATAATGCCTAGGCTGCTAATCTTTGTAATCCCAGAATTATAAGCTTCATAATAGATGGAGTATATCTTTTTAGAGTGGAGGGGGAAATGTGGCTATTATCCTGGGCTCACAGATGTGGGCGGAGGAGTCATTTCAAAAGACAGCTCATTATGGGAGCTGATTAAAGAGATTTATACATGTTATTCATGGCACTACAATTAACAAACTAGATCCCTATATCTTTTTTAGCATGTTTGGAGAGAACAGAAATGCACTGTCATTGGATTGAGGGAGAAGAAAGGACATATTAAGGTCATATTAGGCTCCTCTCTATTTTTTTGCCCATAATCCTCTGGGCCATAGATGTCTATGGGTGGACAGGATCAAAAAAAGTCAAGATGCATAATAAAAAGTGATGGGGTTCCAATCATGTGATTGCAACCACCATTTTGGCTTTATGCTGATCACACTGGATTCCACTGGCCAAAAGAGAAAGTAACTGTCACCAAAGCTTCCCAGTTGTCTCCTGTCTGAATGAAGAGTTCATACTTTGGTCCCCCTAATCCAAGTCCAACACACGAACTTGCTGCACTAAAATTCTCATTTCAGCTCCATCAAGCAGGATTTAACAACTCAGAGACCATATCTGTTCTCAAAACACCACTCGCTGTTTGCTGTTTGGACCTTGTTCTTTGCTTCTCAACTCAGAGTGGACAAAGCCAACTTGGTCTCTGAACCAGCTGAGGACTCCATGAGATACTTCCAGCCGGGGCCTGTTTATTTCCTTTGAAGCAGCTGTTTCAATTGGAATCTTTAAAGAACCTCAAGACTTCCCACTGAGCTGTCAATGTTTTTTGGTAGTTGTTTATGTGGAAGAAGTTTAACTCCTTGCAGGCAGATTAGCTGGGGTAATGCCTCATTCAAATCTGGCTGTAGTTCTCGGATTTTGGTCAGCTGATGTGAGACTAGGGCTTTGTGAACTTCTGTCATTGAATGGGGAAAGCCCAAAAGTTCAAGGGCAGGTTCTGTTGAGGGGGTGGGGCTTTGCAGTCACCTGATAATGTCCTTTGGTTGCTGAACTACTTCCCCTCAATTCAGTAAATGCAACCTATCCTGTCTTTACGGACATTTTCAACATGGCCAGTGAAGAATTTGCTTACAATATTCATCAGTTCCAGAAGTTTGAAAAAATGAAGTCAAATCCATACAGGAAACATGCTTCATTATTTTCATAACTAAATGAAACCTTCATGTTTGATCAAATTCTGGGAACAACCCACAGTTATGGAATGTTTTTTTTTTATGTTGTGCTGATGGATAAATGTCTGCAACAGAAGACAAACGTCATCCTAGATGGCTCTCTGGTGTAATGAAGGATTGTTCTTATTATTTTGACTCACACTTTGTCTTTTATAACTTCTTCCATAGCTTAAGAGCTGAAGTAATACTATTCTATCTGAAAGCCTAAAGCTGATAGAAGAGAAAATTTGTAGCTCAGGACTGAACCGTGGGGCTCTTGTTGTTCTCTGAGCTTGGTTGTTTTCTTGCAGACATTTCATGACCTAACTAAGTAGCATCATCAGTAGTAGATGAGAATGGAGTTTGAAGAATGGAGGAGGAATTGGAGTTGGAGTTGGAATTGGAGGAGGAGGAGGAGACCTGCAGGGTTCCTGATGCTCTATGAGCTTGGTGGGGAGTTTTTTGGAGTCATTTCCTTACCAAACTAGGCAACGTTAAAAATGCTTGAAGGGAGTAGGGTTTGCTCTTATTTTAATATACTAGTGGCTTGCTCTGTCAGTGTTGGTGGAAGTGTTCCTTGATTAGGCTGTTATTTACTGTTAGCTTGTTTGTCTGGTAGTTCCTTGATTGGGGTATTATTTACTTCTTGACTGTTGCTCTAGTGCTAATCTTGGTGTTAATTTCTGCTCATATGGGTGTTGATTGCTGGTGGATTTGGGTCTTTTTTCTTGGGGAGGAAGGATTATAATGTGCTTCATATTCCAAAGCCTAAAGTCTTTGATTGTCAAGAATGCCTGACCCACTTCTGTAAAATCTCAAGATTCTCTCCATTACATAGTAAGTAGCATTTCTTATATGGTTTTCTAAACCTTGAGAAGCCATAAACACTATTTTGGAATAAGAGAGGATATAAGCAACTCTAAAGAGCAAGTAACATCATCCCACATTGTTTCAATCCATGCAATTCACTCTATTTGTGCAATCATGCCATGATGCATATGACACTACTGTGGCTTTTGCTGGATATTCCGCCATAGGGAAGATAAACATACAATATATATCTGACTACTTACTGGTTGTCTGCATGGTTGCAGGGCTCCCATTCCCAGTGTATGGAGGGAAGAGGCCATCCACTTGCTGTGCATTGAAGGCTGTGTTCTCTTCCTTTAGTGACCAGCTCAGTATTGGAAAAATCAATCTCCTTTTCATAAATGTGAGGTTTCTCTGAAGAGGAAGAAATTAATACAGCTAGGTCAGCTTTCTTGAGAAAGAAGTCATAACTATATGTGAAGCAATAAAAGGCAAATGTCACACCTGCTACAACTTAAACTCCTAATTAGAAACTATCCTTGGTTCCATTTGTTGAGAAAGATATAGTTTTATTAGAAGTCAAGTGTGTTGCAATAATGCAGAGCCAGAACTGAGAAACCCCCAAGTTCAACATTTCGCTCCCTTAACTTTCTCCCATCGCTGATCAATCAGGTTCAAGCAAGACATTTTCAGAACGGTCAGTACAAGTGTAGGCTGGTATGCAGCCGGCTTCTTCTCCCAGCTGGGTGACCTTGAGGCAGCATCATGGGGAAATTCAGCGGTTACTTTCGCTTTCTCCCATCCACCCTCCCCAGTGTTCGTGGCAGATTGTCAGTGCATGGTAGCAAAACACAAGGAAGCATAAGGTGGCAGCTGACAACAAGGATCTTCTTAAAAATCTATTCTTTAAGACCTGTGAACTTCAACTCCCCAGCCAATTCTATGAGTTGGTCCATGAGTCTTAGAGATGCCAAGGTTGGGTACCCTTGGTCTAGATTATAAGATGGCCTTTTTCATGTGAGATCTTCAATATTTTTCCTCTGCGTGGGCACAATCTGCATCTCCCCTTCCCCAAATTTAAGGGCTGATTCCTGCCCTCTTTTCATCTGCTACTGATTTCGAATAAAAACTATCCTCAACCTGTAGATTCAATATAGCCACCCATCTTAGTGGACTCTGGCCAGTTTACAAAACATAATTTTGTTAAGTGGTTAGATGGCCTAGAATATTGGTATTTGAACATCAATCTTTGTAACATTTATATTCTATTGTATGTTATTAATCTAGGTGAAATCTCAAAGGTGTTTTTTTCTCTAAAAGGCAACTGGACTGTTTTTTCCACGAGGAAGTTTTTCTCTTTCTTCCACAAGGAAAAAAAAAGGAAAAAAAAACCCCGGCCCAGTTGCCTTTTGAAGAAAAAAGCACCTTTGAGACAATCATGTCCTGAATGACTGAGAATTTCCACAAACATCTAGTTGAAATGTGAATATATATTGCTAGTCCTTGTATGATTTGCTATACACTAAATAAAGAACAAAATATAAACTAATCCTAATGATATTATTATGGTCATACTAATGATATCAATACTAAATTAAAGCAATTAAAAACATAAACAAGACAGAAGGAAGACAGCTCAGACTAAACAATAATTAAAATAAAGCAGGATACACACACACCCTTAAACAACACAAATGCAAAACATGTTGGCCCTCCAGATGAGTTGAATTATAAACATAGATGCACACATCTGAGCAGACCTGGTCTGCACTAAAATTTGCTCAGTATGTCTTTTGTGTGTGTTACAGATTCTGTTCTACAGAGAGTTGGAAAAAATAATCTGCATTCTTTCCTTTTTTGTGTGTGATTTGCATACTCTTTCCCCAAATCTGGGCTGTATTAAAACAAGTGACTCAAAATCCTTTTTGTAATGGATCAACAGGGTCATTTAAAAAAAATATAAACTTAAAACTCGAACTTCTGTCACTAAGCAATGCCATCATTAATTGAGTTGCTTCTAATTTGATAACCCTTTTGGTCACGGTCATTAAATGAATCACACAGTAGATAAGCGAATCCAGCTCTCCCCATTAACTTTGCTTGCCGGAAGCCAGATGGAAAATTTGAAAATGGCGCCCACAGGACCCTGGGATGCTGCAACCAACATAAACACAATCCCCTTACCAAGGGCCCAGATGTTAAGGGATGTTGCAACTGTTGTAAGTGGGAGGACCAATAAGAGGTTACATTTTCAGTGCCACCATAGTTGAACTGGGAGTGGACATCAGTCAAGAAGTACCTGTATTCTTTGTCAGCAGCTCTTTTGCAAGTTTGATAATAAAGAAAAAGATGAATTTTGGTGAGTGAATGAGTAAAATGCTGAACATTTTTGAGAGTGTTTCAGGCGATGATCAAAAATGTCCACTGCTCAGTAAAGAAACCCATGCAAGTAGTCCTCAACTTATAACAGTTCACTTAGGGATTGTTTGAAGTTTCAACAGTACTGAAAAAAGTGACTCATGACCATTCTTTACACTTATGGCCGTTGCAGCATTCCTGTAGACATATGATCAAAATCCAGATGCTTGGCAATTGGTTCATATTTATGACGGTTGCAGTGTCAGGTGTTCATATTTTGCGATCTTCTGACTACTGAAGTCAATGGGGAAGTCAGATTCATTTAACAACTGTTACCAGTTTAACTACTGCAGTGATTCACTTTAAAGATGTTGTAAAATGGGGCAAAACTCACTTAACAAATGTCTTACTTTGCAACATAAATTCTGGGCTCAATTGTGGTCGTAAGTCGAGGACTACCTATACTTTGCACACCAAAAGTGCAACTTGGAGCAACCTTGCTCAAAAGGTCACAAAGAGAAGAGTTTGATACGGAGAGGCAGTTTCTCTGCTCTTGCCTCTCAACTCCCTTAGCCAGTCTGGAGGGACGTGAAGGTTTTGTCAAGATAATCTCATTCCAACTGCTTAGCACTACAAGCTTAGAAGGAGAGATTAAACATATCTAGCAAAGAGAAAATATCTTTTTTATTTGGTGGTAGGAGTGAACAGATAAATTCTCTGATTGTAATAATGGATTTTTGAATTCTTTGATTGTAATAATGGATTTTTCCACTTAGCACTCAATTAAAACAATGGCTTATATGAATTGCAGATGTGCTTTTCATTACCCAATTAATTTTTTTAAATGTAGATTGCATTATTAAATATTATGTGAAACCTGAAATCAGACCTAATGAATTAGGGAATAAAGTAATCACTGCTGGAGAAACAAAAGAGCAATTATTTACTTTAACCTGGAAAGATAAAGCTATCAAATACACTGTTTTCTTTAAACATACACACACATTTGCACACATAGTTGCATGACTACACGATGATGGAGGAAGTTATAAAGACAGTCTAGGAACAAGCGATGAAAGGCAGGTCTTTGGGTCAAGAAAAGAAAGTTCTCTTTGGATGATTGTTATTCAGAACAGATTGTCTGCAATAAATCTGCAATAAAAAAGGTTACTATGGCAACCAAGTTTTCTAGCTACTTAGGTCTAATGTGCAATTAAATAGTAGCTTCCACAAAAAGGAACATTTTCAAAGTTGTCCACCCTCTGCATAGATTACTGCAAAAAATATGAAGTGACATTATCTGGCATAGCTTAACCATGTTTAAGACTGAATTCTGCTGTTCCTTCCTAAGCACTCCTTCAAACATAGTTGTTCATCATTGCCACTCACTAGCCAACTTGTCAACTGGCTATCTGTGGCATAATTTCTTACATTTCATTCCAGTGAGGATGTTCCAGCAGCCTTAAGCACCATGAAGCAACTATTTTGCAAGAAACGTTTAAAAAAGACAATTAACCGCCCTTTTAGACCCATCACCCGAAAGTTCTGGCTTTCTTCTGTTTGATGACCCTGAGTGAAACAAATTGTCATCGTTCCTTTTTGCCCAGTACAGCCCATAAAGGTATAGCATGATGGAAAACCTCAAGTGAAGAGAGGAATGCAATCTTTCCGTTCTTAATTCAGCTCAAGACCCTTTGTATACATTCCAAGTCAACATACTTCTAAGCATGATGATTTTGCTGCCCCAATATATCTGAGGGACACCCATTTGAAGAAGTTGGCTTAGATGTTTACCAGGATGAGGAGTAAAGACTGAGTTGTTTGATTAAATCACGTCTTGTGATGGAATCGAGTGAAGAGGCAAAAACCAGAGCAGTAAGAGGCAACTCAGCCCAGAGATCATGTGAGAGAAAGAGGATGAAGACAGCTCCTTCCTAATGGTTCCCAGGATATATTGTTGATGCAAATTTTGTCTATAGGTGTGAAACAAGAAAGGGCTCAGCTTGAAAGAATTAACAGAACAGAAGAACAGAATTGGAAGGACCTTGGAGGTCTTCTAGTCCAACCCCCTACTCAGGCAGGAAACCCTACATCATTTCAGACAAATAGCTGTCTCTTCTTTAACAATTCCAGTGTTGAAACAACAACAACTTCTGGAGGCCAGTCGTTCCACTGATTAATTGTTCTAAATGTAAGAAAATTTCTCCTAGGTTCTCTCAAGGTTCTCTCCTTGATTAGTTTCCATTCATTGCTTCTTGTTCTGCTTTCAGGTGCTTTGGAGAATAGCTTTTTTGTGGCAACACCTTAAATATTGGTACATTGCTATCATGTCACTCCTAGTCCTTTTTAAAATTAAACTAGACATACCCAATTCCTGCAATTGTTCTTTGTATGTTTTAGCTTCCAACCTCCTCATTATCTTTGGTGCTCTTCTCTGCGCTCTTTCCAGAGTCTCAACATCTTTTTTACATTGTGATGACCACTGGATGCAGTATTCTTGGTTTTACCGAAGCATTATAAAATGGTATTAACACTTCACCACATGTCATTCTTGCTTTTAAGCCTGACGCACCTCACGAGACAGCTTCTTCTATCTAAATCAAAGCCCTGAACGTTTTGGAAGCCCTGTTCCTAAGGCCCCATTTCACAGAATCACAGACTACAAGGGCTGAAAGGGACCTTGGAGATCTTCTAGTCCAACCCCGTCCAAGGCAGGAGACCTTACATCATCCTGATCAAATGGTTGTCCGATCTTTTCTTGGAAATCTCCAGCGCTAGAGATCCCACAACCCCTGGAGGCAAGCTGTCCCACTGATTAATTTCAAACTTCTTTCAGAATCAGCTATGAATTATTAGAAAAAAGCAGAGGAGGAACAGTTGTCCCAGGGTGGCGTTCAAATGTGAGCTGAATCGACGGTTCTCACAAGAGTCAGAATGCAGAGAGTTGGGGGAGGGAGCTTGCTATTTTGGTCCACTTGGATTTGCATAAGAATTTGCATAAGCAGCCTTTCATGTTGCTTTTCTTAGCGTTTGTCCCCATTGTTGCAGCATCCACT